AAGAATAGAGGAAAATGGCCTAAAGAATTAAAGATTACTAACATGTAGGACCCCATCTAGACCATCATGAATGATCTCGGACCAATTTTTAAAGTACATTGTAAAATTTTGGCTAATTTTATACAAATAGATCATGCTTAAAAGGGGTATTTGCCAAAAATACCGGTTGAGAGGTACAAATTTCCAGAGCCGTAAGGCGAGGGAAATTTAATTACCTCGAAACCGGTATTTTTGGCAAATACCCCGTGTAAGCATGATATAATTGTTTAATTCCACCGAATGTTCTTTGTATCCATCTTGACCTCAGAAAGTTTATTGTAATCAGGTATCATATGGAGTTTCTACTTGACTGTATAATTTTTGTATATATATACTGCAGCTGTGTTATTTGCGCAGTCAACATAGCCAGAAATTAGTAGTACTTTTGATAATTAATATTCAAAATATGTAAATGAGAATTGTACCACGTGATAATAGTTTGAACTGGACTGGCTTGATATCATTAAACTCTTTAAAACACGGATATTATAAGTTGCCCGTCACAGAGTCCTTGTTTATAATCACTCTGATATTTCCGTAAAGTTGTCAGGCGGTCAAAATCAAAACAATGAACGCGAATTTAGTGAATTTTTCGTGTTTTCGTGAGTTTATTCTTCTTGAAATAGAGGCATTTTAACTTTACGTGGGAACCTAGAGTTCAACGACTACATATACAAGGTTTGGACTTGCTTATTCTTTGGACATTCAAGTTTCAAGTTTCACCCCGGCAACCTGTATTTCTAATGACCTTGTTAGCCAATTTTCAACACGAAGTTTGCAAATTTGACGTTTCAGCCATTTTAGCCTGTATTTTATACTGTAATGGTAAAAGCCTCTCGCTTCGATTTTTAAAATAGCTCAGGAACCTTGATTTTTGCAACGCCAGTCATTATATTTCGTTTAAATGGTGTATATTGTTGTGTATATTCATTTTCTGCCCCGGCAACCTGGATATCACTTAAATCAAAGTTAAAACAGACATTTTTTCTAAATTCCCTATCATTTCAATATAATTTCCGTGACCCGTATTCGATTTCTTTAGTATAATATTCAAATAAGCAAAGTGGCGTTGATTTCTGGATATGAATTGCATTGGCCGTATATTCATTTCTAATAATTGTTAATGTACAGTCATTGACCGTATATATATCTCCCTGTTTATGATAAGCTGGTTCTTGACTGACTGCTACACTTTCTTCATCAGTTTGAGTGAAGCGTAATACAAGCGGATACCAGTTTATGTTTATGACCGGTTGACAATGCTTTTCCGTTGAGTTTTATTTATGACGTCATTAAAAGTACTGGTTCGCGGAATTTTTACGTCATTCGCTCCAAATTCAATAATGATGTTTTTTAACCTTAATATTACATTTGGAACCGTATATTAAGGATGGCCATACATTTGTCCTATTAGAATAGAATTGGGTTATTTTTAGACATGGTATTCCCCATCTGCCATGGTATTTGCTAGCAAATTCCCCGGCACATGGAATTCCCTAATGACAAATACCCCGGCAGAGAAAAGAAAATCTCAATACATAGAAATTGGTGAAAAATACCATGTCTCTCATCCAATCAAAATCTAGCATTATTACATAAGGTGGAATTATACAACTAATTCATTTTTTATAAGTATACACACTACTATGAACTTAATACGAAAAAAATATGTCGATTTTTTTATATGCATTAACATTAAGAATTTATGAAAAGATATGTTGCATAAACATAATATTAAGATTTTAGAAATTAAGGGAATACGATACAGTAGCAGGGGCAGATAATAACGTTTTCAAATCTTTTCGTGTTGTTTCGCGACGTTGTTAATCAGAACGTTGTAATTTCGCGAAGTTTCTAATAAGAACGATTACATTTCGCGACGTCGAGTTAAATGTAGTCACATTTGCGGAAAATTCACTGACGTCATAATTCAAGTTGCGCGAATTTGAAACAATGCTAAGAAAATCGGCCATATCACGAGCAAATTGTTATATTTATTCATTAATAATGAGTTCAACAGTATTAACTTGAAATGTGAAAAAAATCAAACCACATTCATAATTTTGTATGCATTTTATTTCATATAGGAAATGAATAAAAGATAGGTAAATAATAATACGTCGATGAGACAGAAATCCAATTACACAAAAAGCCCAATAAGTAATTTAGATATCAACGTACTGTCTTGATCAAAACATAGTATCTACACCATTTGGCAAACTCTAAATCGTATGGAAAATTTTAAAGATAAATTTAACAGAGACTATCAACAAAATGACAAATAGCATGATAAATAAAGTCAATGCCCAATACTGTTCCTGACTTTGAATAAGTACACTAAAAAGTTAAACGGTATTTTTAGAATTTAACCCAGTGGAATATATATGTGTATATGTGTATGAAAAAGAACTGCCAGTTAAAAAGACACAGTTATAAGCCCCGTATTATAGACGGAATGACAGACTGAAGGACGGACGGACATACAAACAGGGTAAAACAATAGCCCCCCCCCCCCCCCCCCCCAAACGGAATTGGGGGGAGGGGTAAAGAAATACCCTGAAGACAAGCTTACGCAACTTATCAATTGATACAGAATAATGCAATTTCATGCTCTAATACCGACTGCTGTACTTCCTATGAAATGTTAAACTACATCGTAATGGACTATATTGAGATAATTACGACATGAATTTGCTCGAAACAGCTCTAAATATTCACTTTTTAAACATGTTCAGAGTAGTTCTAAGCTGACCCGAGTTAATGTGGGTATGGTATTGTGTTCATATAATGCCTATATAGTAGGCCGTTAGTTTTCTTGTTTAAATTGATAACATTTTTATGTCGGGGCTTTTTAAAGCTGACTTTACAGTGTGGCTTTTTTGTTGTTGAAGGCCGTACGGTGACCTTTAATTTCGTTTATCTTCGTAATTTGAACTATGGTTGATAGTTGTTCTCATTGGCAATGGTACCAACTGTCCTTATCTTTATAGTATCCCACTTACTTTATAATTGTTTCATATTTTGTCATGTCGGGGCTATTTGAATAATTAAAATTATGCGCAAGCTGTGTTGTCTACATGAGTTGACAGACAAATGTCGGACAGAGATGCAAATTTTTTTTTTATCAGATTTATCTTTTTTGTTTCCGCACCTTTCTTTTCTAAAAGTATTTTATTTTTGTATCCAAGTTTCGTAACAATTCATAAAAGTTTGGAAAATATGTTATGCTATTTTACGAGTAACCAGCTTTGAAATTTTGATGAATAATTCATTGTATCATTGTTTTCGAAAAAAAACCTTGGCTATACCAATGAACTTGACAGCGTAATCGTGAACGGCGGGAATGATTTCACGACTTTATTGCGATTAAAACTTATTTCAACGTAGTTTAGCGCCCTATTGGCAGCCTATTGGTTTGTCATTACAAAATCAAGGTTTATTGCTTTTATTGAAAAAACAAGCACATGGACCCCCAGTTTTTTCTTTTGCAATCAATCAAATAATGTTTAAAGAACGCTCCGCCAAAATTTTAAGAAAAAATCAACGATCGAACTTTTTCTGCACTTCTGAATAGACGCAAAAATATTGTCAATTTCTTTATTTCACTAATAGTAATGTAAATTCTGAAATAATTATTTAGTTTAACTTTAAACTTATTACAGAATGGTCATGTCATGGACCAAGGGAACATTTTACAAAAAACCCGGTTAAGTTATGACTGTTCGTTCAAAAGTATTGTAACTTTCCTTAAAAGTCATTTTTTATGAAATTTCAGGGTTTTCGCTTCAAATATGCAAATTTCGAACCAAATTATCTCAAAAGGTAAGTCATGAAGGTATATTTTTCTTTGCATATTTCAAAAGTACACATCGAAATTGACCTTGTACCAAAATTTCAAGAAAAAATCAACGAGGGATCTCTACTGTATCGTATGCCCTTAAATGCGGACGACATTTTCACTGCAAATTTATGTATTATAAAAATGTTTTGAAGACAAGTTTAGGCCATAATTGTCTTGTTATTTTCGGACAGTCTGCTTAAGAAAACTGTTAATAAAACAATAAAACAAAAAAATTGTTCAACTCAGAACCTATTTATAAATAATTAACTTCAATAGATTTAATGCAAAAAAAAACCAGTTGAAATCGTGAATGATTTTCTCTTTCAGAATAAAAAAAGGATTGACTTTTTAAAAGTGTGACATTTTTATATGTATATAAATAATTAGATTGCAGACTTTGATTTGTTATATTTTGTTTGACAATCAATAAGAAAACAACTGCTATAATTAACTCCATATTAGCTAGCATAGACATTATCATTATGGTTTCTTTACTTATGACTATCGTTACTTGTAATCCTTAAATGTAACATGCCCTGAATGGGTCGATATTTGGTTTAATAAAGTATATTGGTATTCCTATTCGATCTAATTTAGTCTCTCTTCCATCTGATGAAATCAAAATTGAAATTGACATTAAGCAATTTTAAGCAAATTAAATATTACTTATCAAAGCAATTACTTCAGTACATTAAATTACGTTTTTGTGATTTAATGATATGATGTATCATAATGGTTAATTTGTGAGCAAACCGAAGTCTTTCGTAGCGTTGAATCAGTGTACAGCACAACACGAGTGATGACGAAACATTAATGTGTCTACTTAGATTTAGTAAAGATTATTGTCATCAATTATTAAAACTAATAAATAGATTACTAAATGTAGATAATAATATTGTGTGTAATAGATTTTCAATATTCGAAAGTAATATTGAAAATAAAGCACATAATGATATTTTATTTTTAAAAAGAGGAAAAAACAGACGTAAAATTTCCGAGTACGTCATTCAACTAATTATGTGGTATTTCAACACACAATATCTATAAATAGAAGCATATTAGATGAGTATATAAGTGAACATCGTAACAAATAATAATCATGTAAAACATGATGGTCTATGTAACACAGAGATTGATTTTCTCGCTGATCATGCATTCATTATTTTATTCTATCGTAACTCGTGCAGTAAGTTAAAACATAAGCATTATGGCAATTATTCTATTCTTTAACCCTCATATATTGATTATTCCACACGAATACCATCAGTTCAATATATTTGAAGGATTAAATATTGAAATCAAAAGATGAAAATAATATTTACCAAAAATAATGATCGAAAGGTTGCAAAACGTTATTCGCTAACACATAATGCTTATTGCAAATTATATGACTTAAATTTGTTGTCTAGAAATTTTATTGGCATGCATTTTACATGATTTTATTTAGTTCTAAACATGTACGATTTAATTGTAAAACATTATAATATACTATAATCACTAAGTATTTGTTATATATATGTAATGCTCAAGTCTATTTTTATTTTATTTTTCTAGGTTTCGAAGAGTCCCCTAATAACAGATATGAATATAAATGAATATAATAAGATACGGACCAAAGTATTGAAAGTCCTAAAAAGAGGTCACCTGGCATCATCAATTACAGAACAGAAACATAATGAAAACGAATTTATACTACATAAACTAGTAAAGAGAGCATGCATTGGAATAGAAGAAATGTGTGGATGAACCGGTACACTGCAGGGAGTTTCATCTCCTTTGGAGACGATAATTTCGAACTATACAAGCCAATACGTGTCCATCCGATTTTGAAAGAAGTATTGATGCAGTCCTCTTTTATCTCGACGCACAACGGTTTGCAATTATGAGGATATATTACTGTACAATAACCGTTACGGATTTGATATAGTCCATACTTTTCCATGCGTTACCAATTCGAAAAAGTCCTGTTTGCGCTAGCAGTTGAAGGATTTTTTTACAGTGTGAAATAAACATTGGTCTACGAGAATAATAAATAATCGAAAAATAGATAGACAAACCAGCAATCAGAGTTTCCAAGGCATTTATTTCACCAGCCAATGAAATTGCAGCCTTCAAATTTTTCAAGGCGTGTATCAATACGACAAAACCAGAGGATCCCAAAAGGTTTTTAAAACAGAAAGTAGAGTGGACAGTTGTCAGATCCTTGTAAGCGAAGCGTGGACACAGAATCAGTATTTCAATCAGATTGTGTAGAGTGTTGACTATTAGTTTTGATACGATGTAAACGTGTGATGTAGACAAAATAGAATGACAATGTTATAGTGATATTGATATTTGATAAATTAGAATTCGTAGAAGAAGAACATAACAGCTCGATATTTAAGTAAAAATACAAAACTTTAAATTTTATTGTCTGCAATTTGTTTAGATGTAGATGTCAATCATATTTGGGCGAGAGCAACAATAAGGGTTTATCAAAGTGAGTAGTCCGAACTCGTGTCAAGACATTTTGACTGTCATAGGGAAAAGAGAATACATGTACCTTGTGTAGAGACAGCATTTTTGCTTCCAATTATAGGTCAATTGCAAAGAAGAGATATTGCAAACTAAGGGTTTTTTTTATAATACGCAATTCTACCTACAAGACACATGCGAAATAATGCTTCTGTTCCTGTTGCACATCGTGGTGGTTTAAATATCCTGTACCATCTAATTAGATGTAATGACGTAGCTATGTCTTCCTGTCTGATAAAGAAAATCAAATGGATAATATTTCCATACTGCAATCAATCCATTTGGTTGTTATACTTGTATGTTCTATTACACAGGTAAAGTTTGCTAACGTGAATTTCACATGAATCTCACATGGAATTCACGTGAAAATTTTCATGTGAATTTCACGTGAATTGAGATTCACATGAATCTCACGTGAAATTTTTAACATGAATTTCACGTGAACTTTACAAAAAAAAATGGTATTTTTCATGGTTTTCTTTAAATTTGAAAATTTAGATGTTATTTGAATTAAAATTAAAATTGATTTAATTATTCACACAAAACGTTCATGTGATTTTGACGTGATATTCACGTGATTTTCACATGAACTGATTTCACGTGAGTTTCACGTATAAGCTCGTTTGAGGTGAAATTCACGTGAATTTCACTTGAGAGACACATAAATTTAAATTCACGTGAAATTGATGTGAATGAAATTTCCATTTTTAGGGTCCAGATGGGGTTTACAGAATAGAAAATAATGGACAAAAGTACAGAATAAAAACACTAAAGAATAGAGAATAATAAGATACTTAAATATGAAGAACAGAGAATAATAAGATACTTAAATATAAAGAATAGAGAATAATGGGCTAAAAAAATTTAAAATACAGAATTGGAAGACCGCCCCCTCACCTCCCCTAGCCCTCATCTATTTGAACTGCAGGTATATTGGATGTAATATAAATCATCACAAGTAAAATTTACGGGAGATAGATAGATTATTTTGGTAAAGTTTGTTCATCATAAACATTTCTTTAGAAACAGGGTGATCGCCATTACAACCGATTTACTATTTTGTCTGATATTGACCGTCGTCATTACAATACATGTATTTGGAGTAATATCGGATGTATCTAAGGGAATCAGAAAGTAAACAAAGAACAGCAAAAGGTATCAAAGAGAAAGATACATATACTATGCATTACAAATCGCCAATGCACTTGAATAATTACCTATTTGAGATAGTAATGATGCCTCAGTCACTACTGTTAAAACAAGTAAAACGATGATCGATGAATCATTTGGTTTTTTTTTCTTCAAAATTTACTGGCGTTACAGTGAAGCTAAAGGATGAACTTGATTAATGACGGCTTTCTTAATTAGCAAGTGTCAATAACTTTTATAAACCTTCATCCCTTTTGTGTTATGACTGTCATGTCCTGGTACTTATGCTTTCGAACTAAACATTGTTTTACAGTCCACAAAAACCTTCACTTGTTTAACAGTCATTTCCAATAGGGATTTATGTGACTGTCATACAAGTGAAAGGTTTAGCTAGCCATAAAAACAGGTTTAATCCACCATTTTCTACATAAGAAAATGCCTGTACCAAGTCAGGAATATGACAGTTGTTTTCCATTCGTTAGATGTGTTTGAGCTTTTGATTTTGCCATTTTATAAAGGACTTTCCGTTTTGAAATTCCCTTGGAGTTCGGTATTTTACTTTTTTCAGTACGATTCACTTAGACACCTTACTGACACTCGAAGATGGCACCACAGTATTAATTCATCTCGAAATATGACACAAATATCTCGGGCCTTTATGTGTTGTATAGAATAAGACGGATTCCATCACATTTTATGAGGAACCAGATGCCACAAAAAAGTGGAGGTAACATTGGGTGCTCTGGAAGGGTACTAAGCAGTACATGGTCGACGATTTGTGCCGGTGGTATTGCTGGTGAGGAGTACAAAATCATTTAAAAAGTCATAAAGAGATTAAGAGGTTAAATTTAGGGACGATAAAAATTAAGGATATCCGTCCGATAGAATTAAGGATATCCGATAAGATTAAGGATATCACTGAATATCAGTGACATAGTGTTCCTTAATGGTCACTAAGACAAAACGGCGTCGATAAAACAAACGAAAAAATATTCGAATTTGATTATGTTGTTTCATGATAAGCAGCAATTCTTCATAAAGGTAATCCTGGCATAAAACATAAGCTCTGAAATGTTACCTGTATCTTGCAACCTTATACTTCATACGCAACTGGTGCTGTAATTTTGATTTTCAAACATTGAATCGAATTAATAAGCTGATTTTTACTTTTTGTAAGTAAATTTTATTTATTACTCTACTCCGACGTGGTTAAGTTGAATGTATAAGTTAACATTTGGGATAGGGCGCACCCTGAAATGCTCAACCCCACTACATTCTGTATGTGCCTGTCCCAAGTCAGAAGCCTGTAATTCAGTGGATGTCTTTTGTTGTTGCGCAGCATATTTGTCATGTCGGGGCATTTCATAGTGTGCAATGCGTTATGGGTTTGGTTCATTGTTGAAGGCCGTAAAATGTTCTATAGTTGCTAACGTCTACGTTATTTGGTTTTGGTGGAAAGTTATCTCATTGGCTACTTATATTTGTATATATGATATTTCTCTTCCGTAATCAATAAGACAGATACAATGTTTGTTACCAACTTACATCCATGTCTGATTGGCAAGTATGCCACATCTTACTTTGATATCAAAATTATACAATTACGTTTTAGTTATGTTGGTGGGTATCTGTATCATTGTCGAATACTCCACGTCACTTTACATTAATTTATTGTAAAGTAAAGAAATTATTGGAAAAAAAATTCTGTTATGGTTGTGGCCTGTTATCTATTTCTTGCATGAATAGATAATTCTCGTATCACACTGCACGGAGTGTGGTACGAAAAAGTGATACGAAAATATGCGTTAATTTGATTGGCTTATCCAGCATCACAAGACGATATTACGGCATTTCCATTGGTTATTCGTTAGGTCAATGGTGACTTTCAGAGGTTAAGACGATGTACATTTTGTTCATGGAAACGGACACTGTGATTTCTTCAATAATATACAAAACACTCACACATTTCACCTGACAATCTTCTTCTTTTTGTCAAATTTTATTACATTTTGAAGCGTACAAAAGGTCTTAATAAAATGTCTGATGTTAACACCAGAAAAGGACATATGACGTCATACTGGAATGTGCAAACGACTAGATCAGCATTTTGCGGAATTTTTAATTTACACATTGAAAGTGTTGACCATAAGAAAAATAGGTTTAACAACTTGTGAAAATTGGATATAGCTTGATATCAACTCTCGTTATAATATATTTAATTTGAATAGTAATAATAAACTCGCCGAAGGCTCGTTTATTATTATATTGAAATTAAATAACTCGAGTTGATATCAAGCGATATCCCATTCTTCCTCGTTTATGAAACCTATAAGTAGCATACGTCTTATATATTTTTCTGGAAAATAATCAAATTGAACGAATGGCTTTTAATAGTACTTTTAACGTGTACTGTATGATATTTCTTCTTTTCCGGGAGTATATACTCAAAGTGTTTATTCATAATAAAAAAAAATTATCTGTTGTTTCCGAAATTTGAATCATGAAATATTTTGTGTAAAATTGCTTATAGTTTGTACAAAGGCTTAGTATGTACTACCGGAAAAGTAGAAAAAACAAAAATAGAAGTTTTTGAGGCTATTGAAAACCCTTAATGGTTAAAGAAGAATTCCACGTTTCAGAATATAATGCAGCCTGGGAAATATTTTTTCAAAAGAGTACAACAATATATTGTGTATTAGTAAAAACCTCTTAAACAATGAGATTTCTACCAATATCATCTTCATTTTTGGGTACAAACAATGGAAGTACCTTAGCTCTTTAGATTATGAAGCGCTCGTAGTATTAGAAAATTTAGTATTAAAATTTAGTTAAGACTCATAGTAAAGCAAGGATTTGTATATATATATATACGATATTCCAGAGCATACTGTTCTTGGATCGAGTATACTGTTTGCTGTTTCCTGTTCACAATGTACCAACTGAACCATGGGTTGCTAATGGTATAGTTGAAGTCTTTCCTTTGAAAGGTTTACGGCCAACTCTATTTGGTTCACCGATTTGAATATTTGTATCACAGATGACCATTTAATACAAAAAAAAATATATGAGATCGTATGACACGTCCATTTGATCAACTTAAAATATCAATTTGGGCAAGTTGAGATTGACTTAATATCAATTTATTGTCACGTTAACACGTGGGCTATGTTGCACTGCATGACAGCAGGTTTTCAGTCCAAACAACTAATTTAAATGTAGTCAAAATGTCCGTAAACGCTATTGAAAGCAATATTGCTATTCATACAGTATATATAAGAAAACTTTAAGAGTAGAACAAACGTTTATTTGGTCATTTAACTATTTTTTTATTAGAGCGTCACTGATGAGTCTTTTGATGACGAAACGCGCGGCTTGCATAAGTTATATTAAGCCTGGAACCCTTGATGAAGTTTTTTTCCCCATTAAAGATGACTAATTCTTAAAATATATTGATTATAATATTTATTAAGTTTTTATTTTTTATATTTTAAACATTAATTTTTATAAATTTACAACTAATAGTGATTGTAATAAATTTGCTCTTTAATATAGTTTTTTTATCAATTAACATTTGAGTCTGATTCGGTCTCAATTTCTGTACATTGTAGAAATGTTGAATTAGACAATTGAATTATTGTCACAAAGACTTAGCTGAAAGTTTGACATTTCAGATTATGCAATTCAGTCTTATATTTGACATTATAATGATTATATTGAAAAAACAATTAGCAATTAACACAA